AAAGTTGGGAGCATGGAATTGTCCAAAATGTCTTGGTATGCTGAAGCATTCAGAGTTCCTTTCACTGGAACTAAGGGGCCAAGCCCAGCTCCTGAAAAACAACCCCACACCATAATCCCCCCTCCACCAAACTTTACACTTGGCACAATGCAGTCAGACAAGTACCGTTCTCCTGGCAACCGCCAAACCCAGACCCGTCCATCAGATTGCCAGATGGAGAAGCGCGATTCGTCACTCCAGAGAACGCGTCTCCACTGCTCTAGAGTCCAGTGGCGGCGTGCTTTACACCACCGCATCCGACGCTTTGCATTGCACTTGGTGATGTATGGCTTGGATGCAGCTGCTCGACCATGGAAACCCATTCCATGAAGCTCTCTGCGCACTGTTCTTGAGCTAATCTGAAGGCCACATGAAGTTTGGAGGTCTGTAGTGATTGACTCTGCAGAAAGTTGGCGACCTCTTCGCACTATGCGCTTCAGCATCCGCTGACCCCGCTCCGTCAGTTTACGTGGCCTACCACTTCGTGGCTGAGTTGCTGTCGTTCCCAAACACTTCCATTTTCTTATAATACAGCTGACAGTTGACTGTGGAATATTTAGGAGCGAGGAAATTTCACGACTGGATTTGTTGCACAGGTGGCATCCTATCACAGTTCCACGCTGGAATTCACTGAGCTCCTGAGAGCGACCCATTCTTTCACAAATGTTTGTAAAAACAGTCTGCATGCCTAGGTGCTTGAATTTATACACCTGTGGCCATGGAAGTGATTGGAACACCTGATTCCAATAATTTGGATGGGTGAGCAAATACTTTTGGCAATATAGTGTATTTATATATATTCTATCTTATTTTGTTATTTTGTTTTGTTTTTTGTCTGCACCAACAACACCAAGTCAAATTCCTTGTAAGTGCAAACCTACTTGGCAATAAACCTGATTCTGATTCTGATTCTATCAACAAACAGACTCAGAGGAACCTTTATTGTTTTGGTCAGAGCTTTAAACATCACTATCACTGTCGGTGCTGGTCCTTACTTGAAATATCTTGCAAATTGTATATCCTTGGTCCATCCCACCCAAATCTGGAAAATAGATGAGGAGTACTTTGGAGAAATTGACTTGATCCAAGCACCTCAAATTTGTAAAGACGCTTAAGCCACTGCAAAAGTGTGTCAGTGATTGCCATGGTATTTGCTATTCAAATATTGATTGTAGCAAGGAAAGAGTAAGGATGAGGGACCAATATGCTTCCTAGAGGACCTTTGTTTACTATAGGGACCTCACATTCCTAACAGCTACAAGGGTTATGGTTAGGTATACGATTGATTGCATTCCTTTGCGTGACAGAGCCGATAGGAACAGCCCACCTCAGACAGTTCAGTTTAATTTAGTTTATTTATATAGCGCCAAATCCCAACACATGTCATCTCAATGCAATTTACAGTTCAACCAGATCATACAGTCTAAGTGATTCAAAGTTTTCTATTTAAGGAAACCCAGTTGATTGCATCAACTCATTGACTGGAATGCAATCCCTCACACTAAGCATGCTTGTAGCGACAGTGGAGAGGAAAAACTCCCTTTTAACAGGAAGAAACCTCCAGCAGAACCAGGCTCAGTGTGAGCGGCCATCTGCTGAGGCAGACTGGGGTTCAAGGAGACAGAAGCAGAGACACAAAAAGCAGCTGTAAAAGGCGGCCCGTCCAGGAAACACACAGCCAGGCAGACGAGCTCCGAGCCAGCTCCCATGTCAGAGGATGAAAGAGAGCACATCCAGTTAGTCACAGTCAGAGAAACAGGACTACACTGGAAAACAGGCCGATCTCCAACATCTATAAACAAAGGTGTTGATGGCAGCAGCACAACTGATATTTCTCTCCAGGATGGAGTCACAGCCAAACAGGAACAGATGAGGTGAAGCTACTATGAGAAAAAGCAGAGAGAGCAGAACGTTAGAGATTGAACTAACAGATTCTGCAGAGTGGGAGAATAGAGATAGAATGAAGCACAATAATGAAATGGGGTTTCTACACTGGAAAAAAATATATAGATAAGTCATTTTTTCTTAAAATAAGTGCATTTGTTCTTGAATTGAGGAGGTAAAAGAGATATTTTGCCAAAGGAACAAGACAATTTACACTTAAAATAAGAAAACACAATTCCATTGTCTTAATTTAAGTGCATATTATCTAATTATCTTTTAAGAGTAGAAATACTCATTCCATTGGCAAACCAAACTACCTCATTTACCTACTCAACTTAAGGTTGAATACACCTAATTTAAGACATTTTTACTTATTTCAAGATCGTGTTTGCAGTGTATGTCCTCCAGAAGTCTAAGCCCATAGCAGCATAACTATAGAGATAGTTAACAAGCCTTCTAGAAATCTCCTCTCTGGTTCTTGGTACACGAGAAGAATTTATTTCCTCAGTCAAGATTCAGCACATCGCTTAAGGAAGAGAGGGTGAGAGAGCAAGAGAGAAGTGGAGAAAATGGGAAAGAGAGTGAGCAGGAATTCCAGCATGTACAGACTAGCAGCACTGACAGCATGTTTGCACAAAGGAAGCATCCAGATTTTAAAACAATATCAATACATATGCTGTTCTGCATCGTGATGATGGTCCATATATAGATCTGCTGATGCCTTCCCTTTTATCCTGACTTAATGCATTAGGATATTAAAGTCTGCTGATGCAGCAGCATGCATGCATGCATAACTGTGCATTAGTTACACTATAGCTAGAGGGTCTTACTCTCCCTCTGATTCACGAAGTATGTCCCAATAATCTGGAGAGTGGGGTAGGTGAGGCTTCCTCTCACGGGTGAGTAAACGATACTTAAATGTTGAGCAAGGAAGAAACATTTAAGGCTAGAATTAAATTTCAGGGCATATTTGTCAGCCTAAATATGAGTCTGTAGAAATATATGTAAATATATGTAAAAATGAAACATAAGATATTTTAAATACTATTTTCAGCCAGCTTAGTATTTCAGAATAAAGAACTCCCAAACTTTTTCACAGTATTTTATTTTATATGGGTTTTAGACGATGGACCTACACACTGCAGGATGTTTGCACTCAATGTTCTGCTCATACGGTGTGCCCTGCGACGCCCTTAGAGGTCCGTTAGTGAACAAAAGGGAACAAATAGCATCATGAAGACCAAGGAACACAGCTGACAGTGCAGACACATGTGGAGAAGTTTAAAGAAGAGTTAGGTTATAGAGCAACATCTCGGAATGTCACAGAACCTCATTCAATGCAATACCCCCAAACAGAAAGAATATGGCTCCAATCAAAGAGGAAACAGCCTTCAACCTAAACTAGGAAAGAACTGGACTAGTTTAAATAGATGAAAAGAACAGGCACTTTTTATGTTAGTAGGTCACTTTACTTTACAAAAAACCCATGTGGCGTTCACCACCCGTGAACACTGGGATGCAACTCAATGGGAAAGGATATGATTTTTATTTCAGCCCTTGCATATATTAGCTGCGACATATGAATGTGATTGACAGATGACCGCTGATATATGATTGGCCGAATTTAGGTGTTCAGGCTGACGTATGACTAACTGGCCTCCATAAGATAAGGGGGGAAAAAACACAGATTTTAAGACAGAATTTTTTTTTAAATAAAAATGTTCTAACTTTTGGGACAATATTGTCTGAAAAAGAGTACATTTATATACATGTTTTACCCTGAATGATTTGACATTTAAATATGATTTCCCTACAACTTTAAACTTGGTTGTTACATAACTAGTGTTAGATTCCATCAATGTTGGTGGTGACATAACTGTTATATGCAGGACTTTGGCCTCTATCTGTAGGGTTGCTGGTTCAATCCCTGGTTCTGACATCAATGTTGCTGCTCTAAGTAACTTATATGTTGGTGAAAGGGACAGTTTTTTATTGGTTTGCCCTTTTACCAATATAGATTGGTTGTTTTAACCAAAAGATTTTTTTGGACATACCAACCAGATTTGTCAAATTTGACCAATTATTACTGTTATGCCGATGCCATTTTTTGGCCCTGATACCGATACCAACTGTTTTAACTTGATGTGTGTGTATATATGAAGAACTGCATGCTACTTGGATGTAAAATAATCACCATCATGGCTACCTGGAATGGGTGACAATAGTTGAATAAACTTCTGGCTCTCAAAATGCTATCAGTGCCCTATTTGTTGGTACTCGCCGATACCAATACCACCATTTTAGTGCTGGATCGGGGCCCCGCCCAATACTGGTATCAGTATCGGTGCAACACTACCAATTATTTGTTGTTAAAACTCAGGAACTCGTCAACACAACCTGTATTTTAAACTTTTAAACCATTTCAATACATTTTAGTTGCCTTCTAAGTAATTTTACCAAAGGGTACTGATTATGACCGCTAATTTAAAAGGTCTCTTTAATATAGTCGCTGTTCTAGAGGCTGATAAACCAGAAAGTTTACTAATAAAAGGTTTCAAAATCCTAGTTTTCTTCTCTTAATTATTATTTAATGTGTAAGAAAACGCTTTTTAATTACACACAGAAATAAGAAGTGTGCTCATAATTGAAATACATTTGAAAATTGTCCCATGATGAGGTCAATGAAGACCGACTGAGCGATGCGCTTGCCCGCGGCAGGGCATGCAAATGTCTGTGGACGCGCACCTCTGGAAAAATCTATTTAATTTCAAATTTAAATAAATTTAAAACCCTGCAGTCTAATATATTTTTCTTCACATAATGAGTCTGTAAACACCACGTTTCATGAGAAAAGTATCCAGCTGTAAATCAGAATAATGAGCATAATTTTAATCTTTGCTTTAGTAAACAAATATCAAAAAAGTAAAAACTTTCGTGCAAAAAAAAAAAATTGTTTTTGGATGACTACTTTTCTATGTCTATATAAAATGAGAGGGGGTTTATCTTATTGCAACAGAGCAATCAAAGCAGGAAAACAGTGAGCATCTTCCAGGAGGAGCAGTGAGGAACCTCCCTGATCTCCTCCTTCCTGAGGAGGCGGGGAGGAGGAGGAGCAGCTCCAGCAGCCGGGTGGTGTCAGCCCTAAAAGCCGGGGCAGAGCAGCAGAGGCAGGCTGACAGGGACACATTTCACCGCACCAATCCAGCAGACCACAGGTAAGGAGAAGATGATCACTCACAGGGTTTAGGAGCAAGCAGGGAGGAAATCTAGGTTACATCATCTATTCAGCTCAGCTCTGCAGTGCAGTAGAAATAAACATCATAGAATTGCTTAATATTCTAAGACAGATGTTCAGCTGAGAAAGGAAACAGATCCAGCTTAGAAGCTGTGTGATGATTGGCAGGATGGGCATGAATTCATGATGTTCCTACCAACCATCCTGACAGACTCACAGTTGTTGTTTTTTTAATTGGTCTGCCAGATGAGACTGTGCTTTAGCTGGGACTTGGTGCAGGAGGTGGACCAGTCTGCTCAGACTAGTCTGGATGAACCCACTGCAGCACTGCTGTCAGTAACTCCACAGGATTTAATGACATTCCCCTTTAGACAGCGACATCTAGTGGTAGTAAGATGCACCTTATCCACAATGTACAGAAAACAGGAAGTCTGTGACATTACATAAATAAATATCCTTAAAAAGTCATTAGAAATTAGACAGACACTTGAAAAATAATCTAGAAATAAGTAAAATGTCTTAAAACAAGTTTATTTACCCTTCATTTGAGTAGGTAAATTGGATAGTTTGCTAAAGGAGTGAGTATTTTCACTCTTAAAATAAGATATTTAGATACAATGCACTTGAAATAAGACAATGCAATTGTGTTTTCTTATTTTAAATGTAAATTGTCTTGTTCCATTGGCAAAGTATCTCTTTTACCTCCTTAATTCAAGAACAAATGCACTTTGAAAAAAAAAAAGACTAGATTTGTCCAGTGCAGCAGCTCTATTGATGAGGGGTGGTTGATATTTTTCTTGCTCTGGGATCAGCAGCTGCTGTTATTAAATATTATGCAGATTAGAGCGTATTGTCATTGTTTTGATCTATGAATAACAGACACACTGGAAAAATAAAAATCAAGATACGTCATTTAATCACTTTAGTCACTTAATTTAAGACATTTTTACTTATTTCTAGATGGGGTTTTTTCAGTGCAAGCAGAGGTGTTCTTACACTCGTTCTTAGGTCAAAGTATAGACGCCTTTTTGGAAAAAAAAACAACAAAAGACTGGTAGTTGAAAGTAAATAAAAATACTAATACATGTAAAATAATTTTCTTCTTTTCCCCACTGGGTTGTAAAGTGAATATTAAATATACAGACTGTCTATTTTTTTCTGAATGAATATTTCAGAGAGGGTGGAATAGATTGAACTGACCAGGAGTCCTTCATTAGCAGCACTGTGGGATTATCACAGCATTAAAGCTGTAAATATAATTAAATCTGAAATAGAACTTAAAAGAATCTGCAGTGTTTCCTCTCCTCCATCCATGTCTCGATCAGTGTTTTAGTATGAACCTAACAGGGTTCAAACTGGACAGATTCTCTTCATGTTTTGTTCCACGGAACAATTACGTATAAAAGTAAGGAGCAGATCTGAAGAAATTCATGAAAGAAAATACAGATATTTGTGTTCAAAGTAAGATTAGATACAAGTGCAGAAAAAAAGCTACTTATGTCCTCGATACGTCTGGGTATACAGAATTTTTTTTTTTTTATCATCATTCCTTTTTTTTTCTTTTGTGTGATACTGCAAACAAAACAGACAAAAGAAAATCTGCTGTTTGTTTTAACATGGGGATCCTAATGCTTCCATCTAACTGTCTATTTGGTTTTTGGTCAGTCAGGCTCACTGCTGATAATTTGATACCATTAAAGATGATAGCTAAAAGTTTAACTTCTCCCAGCCAGTAAAGGGGTGTACTCCAGCTCCACACTGTCATTCTGTACTGCCAGCTCCACTAAATAATACTAAATACGTAGTATAAATATATATATATATATATATATATATATATATATATATATATATATATATATATATATATATATATATATATATATATATATATATATATATATATATGGTATCGGTATCGGCCAATAGTGCACAGCCAGGTATCAGGGCTAAAAATTTACATTGTCGCAACACTAGTTAAAATGAAGAATAATAAGAGGTTTATTTTTTTCCAAGTCATTTTTTCACTATGTCATTCATTCATTTATAAAAATCTTAGTTTGTTAAATAAACATTTAGTTTGGAGCTAAGTATTTAGTTTGCAAAATAAATAATCAGTTTGTTACATAAATATTTAGCTCCAGGCTAAATATTTAGTTTGCAATATTTATTTAAGTAAGATTTTTATAAAAGAATAAATGACATAGTGAAAAAATGACCATAAATATTGCTCCTAATTGTTGACTGCTTAACTTTACACACGGCGCCCCATACATAGCAGCCATACTTGTGAATAAATGGTCGAGAAGCATAGAACCTCTTCCAGTCAGATTTGCACTGCCATGAATTATTCAACCAACAGGAGGAGAAAAGATGCCTGAAATATTTTCCTCTCCCGCAGGTCGTCAGCATGTCTACGAAGGTGAGCGCCGAGGAGCTGGAGGAGATCAGGGAGAGCTTCCAGAAAGTGGGTGAGTTCACTCTCAGTGGGCAGGTCCTGAGCCAAGGAGCAAACTGCTGCTCAGGCAGCACATGGTGAAGAACCTTAAAGCATGTTGCAATTTATTGCAGTAGTTTGATAGGAATGCAGTCTTCGATCAAAAATAATGCTTATATTAGAGGGAAACAGTACTGGGTTGGATTTTTGTTAGTATTTTTCTTTTTGATTTGTATATAATTAATTAGAATCCTATTTGAGGAACCCATGTAAATAGCCCTTAAGTTAAGTGTATTTACACTAAATTTGAGTAGGTAAAGAAGATGATTTGTCAGTGGAATGAGTTTTTTTCACCTTAGAATAAGATAATTTGATAATATGCACTCGGGAGTAAGACAATGCAATTGTTTTTTCTTATTTTAAATGCAAATTGTTTTGTTCCACTGGTAAAGAGTCTCACTTACCTTCTCAATTCAATAAACAATGCCGTTATTTTAAGAAAAAATGACTTATTTAGATTTACATTTTTTGCAGTGTGTGAATTGAGAAATGGCCCTTGTTGTAAAAATTCTAAGCACATCTAAAAGTAGTGACTCTATACCCTAGAGCAGGGGTCTTCAACGTTTTCCAGGCCAAGGACCCCCAAACTGATGGCGAGACGGAGCGGGGACCCCATAATTATATATACAGGGATTGAAGCAAAAAAAATCCTGAGCCTGTACTTTTTTGACACACACACACATATATATATATATATATATATATATATATACACTATATTGCCAAAAGTATTTGCTCACCCATCCAAATTATTGGAATCAGGTGTTCCAATCACTTCCATGGCCACAGGTGTATAAATTCAAGCACCTAGGCATGCAGACTGTTTTTACAAACATTTGTGAAAGAATGGGTCGCTCTCAGGAGCTCAGTGAATTCCAGCGTGGAACTGTGATAGGATGCCACCTGTGCAACAAATCCAGTCGTGAAATTTCCTCGCTCCTAAATATTCCACAGTCAACTGTCAGCTGTATTATAAGAAAATGGAAGTGTTTGGGAACGACAGCAACTCAGCCACGAAGTGGTAGGCCACGTAAACTGACGGAGCGGGGTCAGCGGATGCTGACGCGCATAGTGCGAAGAGGTCGCCAACTTTCTGCAGAGTCAATCACTACAGACCTCCAAACTTCATGTGGCCTTCAGATTAGCTCAAGAACAGTGCGCAGAGAGCTTCATGGAATGGGTTTCCATGGTCGAGCAGCTGCATCCAAGCCATACATCACCAAGTGCAATGCAAAGCGTCGGATGCGGTGGTGTAAAGCACGCCGCCACTGGACTCTAGAGCAGTGGAGACGCGTTCTCTGGAGTGACGAATCGCGCTTCTCCATCTGGCAATCTGATGGACGGGTCTGGGTTTGGCGGTTGCCAGGAGAACGGTACTTGTCTGACTGCATTGTGCCAAGTGTAAAGTTTGGTGGAGGGGGGATTATGGTGTGAGGTTGTTTTTCAGGAGCTGGGCTTGGCCCCTTAGTTCCAGTGAAAGGAACTCTGAATGCTTCAGCATACCAAGACATTTTGGACAATTCCATGCTCCCAACTTTGTGGGAACAGTTTGGAGCTGGCCCCTTCCTCTTCCAACATGACTGTGCACCAGTGCACAAAGCAAGGTCCATAAAGACATGGATGACAGAGTCTGGTGTGGATGAACTTGACTGGCCTGCACAGAGTCCTGACCTCAACCCGATAGAACACCTTTGGGATGAATTAGAGCGGAGACTGAGAGCCAGGCCTTCTCGTCCAACATCAGTGTGCGACCTCACAAATGCGCTTCTGGAAGAATGGTCAAAAATTCCCATAAACACACTCCTAAACCTTGTGGACAGCCTTCCCAGAAGAGTTGAAGCTGTTCTAGCTGCAAAGGGTGGACCGACGTCATATTGAACCCTATGGATTAGGAACGGGATGTCACTTAAGCTCATATGTGAGTCAAGGCAGGTGAGCAAATACTTTTGGCAATATAGTGTATATATACACTCACCGGCCACTTTATTAGGTACACGGTCAAGACAATCTCCTGCAGTTCAAACCGAGCATCAGTATGGGGAAGAAAGGTGATTTGAGTGACTTTGAACGTGGCATGATTGTTGGTGCCAGAAGGGCTGGTCTGAGTATTTCAGAAACTGCTGATCTACTGGGATTTTCACGCACAACCATCTCTAGGGTTTACAGAGAATGGTCCGAAAAAGAAAAAACATCCAGTGAACGGCAGTTCTGTGGGCGGAAATGCCTTGTTGATGCCAGAGGTCAGAGGAGAATGGCCAGACTGGTTCGAGCTGATAGAAGGGCAACAGTGACTCAAATAACCACCTGATACAACCAAGGTGGGCAGAAGAGCATCTCTGAACTGTAAAGTGCCTTGAGATGACATGTGTTGTGAATTTGGCGCTATATAAATAAACTGAATTGAATTGAATTGAACGCACAGTACGTCGAACTTTGAGGCAGATGGGCTACAGCAGCAGAAGACCACACAGGGTGCCACTCCTTTCAGCTAAGAACAGGAAACTGAGGCTACAATTTGCACAAGTTTATCGAAATTGGACAATAGAAGATTGGAAAAACATTGCCTGGTCTGATGAGTCTCGATTTCTGCTGTGACATTCGGATGGTAGGGTCAGAATTTGGCGTCTACAACATGAAAGCATGGATCCATCCTGCCTTGTATCAACGGTTCAGGCTGGTGGTGGTGGTGTCATGGTGTGAGGAATATTTTCTTGGCACTCTTTGGGCCCCTTGATACCAATTGAGCATTGTTGCAACGCCACAGCCTACCTGAGTATTGTTGCTGACCATGTCCATCCCTTTATGACCACAATGTACCCAACTTCTGATGGCTACTTTCAGCAGGATAATGCGCCATGTCATAAAGCTGGAATCATCTCAGACTGGTTTCTTGAACATGACAATGAGTTCACTGTACTCAAATGGCCTCCACAGTCACCAGATCTCAATCCAATAGAGCATCTTTGGGATGTGGTGGAACGGGAGATTGGCATCATGGATGTGCAGCCGACAAATCTGCGGCAACTGTGTGATGCCATCATGTCAATATGGACCAAACTCCCTGAGGAATGCTTCCAGCACCTTGTTGAATCTATGCCACGAAGATTTGAGGCAGTTCTGAAGGCAAAAGGGGGTCCAACCCGTTACTAGCATTGGGTACCTAATAAAGTGGCCGGTGAGTGTGTATATATATATATATATATATAAATTTGACTTCTGAAAATCCAATACGCAACGTCCAAAAGTGCATCTATATTTCCCACTTGCAGGAACCACATTTCTTTTGATTTCCAGTTTTGCTGCTAAGTATTGTGTTTGTCAAGGAAAGCACAAACCCTTATTTTTAACTCGTATAGACAGTCAGTTTTTTACGCTGGTACTGTACATCAGCTGTTGCCGTAGCTCCCTGCAAACGTATAGTTTGCTTGATGACCAGGGTCTAACTCATGTTTGTGTAGCACCTTTTTGCCACTGGATGCGTAAATAAGCATTCCTGGAGCACAGCGTGGTTCGCCTAACGTCCTGCACCAGCTGCTAAATGGCTAGCCATCTCGCCCTGTCTCCTCCAGTCATGCCTAGAGCCATTTATTTTTGAGAGCTTTATCTATGGTCGTGAGATCTTCCCTGGAGCTCATTATCTGCATTGTGCCTACTCCATGCAATTTCTCTCCGGTGCATGGTGACTTTCCGTGTAGAACTTCAGCACTGTACCACAATATTTCTGGCGACTTGAGCAAGAAACGAGAGGAGGAGGTACACGCTTTCCTAAGACCCGCCCCCTTCATCTTCTGATTGGCTAATACTGTTAGTTTCAGAGCGCTCCTTTGCTACCATTGGCTGACAAATGCAAGAGGGATTTCGATAGTCTTTTTAAAATGTATTTACCGTATTCCGGCCTAGGGCTGGAATACTTTAATCCCTGTAGAGAAGGTGTCAAGAAATGCTGACCTCCTTTCAAATAAGATTGTCAACTGACAGCATGTATGACACAGTTAGCAGCCACACTGAGCCTTGCTTTATTCCCCCACCCTGTCTAGATGTGGACGGTAGCGGCTACATCTGCGCCTCTGAGCTGGGCGACCTGTTCCGGGAGGTGGGCTGTCCGATGCCTGGGTACCAGATCCGGGAGCTGCTAGAGAAACTGGACCGGGACAAAGACAGCAAGATCAACTTTGAGGAGTTCACGTCTGTAGGTAACGCTAACTAACTAACTAAATAACTAACTAACTAACTAACTAACTAACTAACTAACTAACAGCTCTTGTTATCTGTTGGTCTGGTGATTGACAGCTGATTGGTGCTCCATCTTCAGAACCATAATGACATCACAGAGCTAAATCTAACCCAACCTAAAGATGGATGCAGACATTAACAAACAATAAATGATCACAGTCAGACATATAATTGGCCGTTTCTCAATAAGTTTACTTGTGCGTTCTTGTGCTCGTGAAACGTCATCAGCCTCAACCCTAGTGCTGTTCCAGTTCACAAGAACAAGAAGACAGAGAGCAGACACAGTCCCCGGATGTTGATCTCGCCCCTCCCTCTTTACCCAGCATGCATCAGAGCAGACTTGTGTGTTCTTCACACTGTCAGCTGTCCCAGCATGCACTGCGGCAGCAGCAGCTTCCAATGGAGTGCTCACAGAGCTCAGAGTATTAAGTTAAAAGTTATCTTTTCTGTTGCTGTTGTTCAGTAAACGTCTGTTTTAAGATCATTTGGGGCAAGAACATTATATTTTAAGTGTCACTATATGGCCAGATTACTGATTCAAATTATAGGAAAGAGACTAGGAAGCAACTAACATCTTCAACACACAAGAAACCAGCACTGAATGAAGGTTCTAGTGCTCTTTTAAGCCCAGCACTATGATTGTAAAGATTTCTTTCACCTGTGTAGGCTACCCAAATTCTCCACAAAGATCTTCTAGAGAGGCACAACTCACACTAACCCACACACAGGAACCCTGACAGCAGTCCTCTACAGTAATCCATGACCTCTGAACTAGAGGCTACTAGTTACAGCAGCTCCAGCCTGCCTACTGATGGTGGTCAGAGGGCCCTATGGCGCCAGTGTACGGTAGCCTCGCCTTTGTCAGTGAGCCACAGGGCAGCTGTGGCTACAATGTAGCTCACCACCCTCAGTGTGTGAGTGTGTGCGTGAATGGGTGAATGACTCAATATAGTGTAAAGTAGAGACTGACATTTTTTTGGGAATCCCACGAGTCATGGGATTCCTGTGGGATTCCCGTGGGATGGGAGTCAGTATTAGTAACGATCAAATGATTGGGACGGTACAGGATTAAACATTAACGGGAGCAGACGGGAGCGGGAGCAAACCAATAATAACTAAAAAAAAAAAATCTAGGATCGATGCCAAAATATAAAATAAAATAAAATAAAATAGAAAGGAAAAAAAATCCAGTACTGGCGCCGCCATTTTGTAGTTTTTTTCCTTGAAGTCTACACTATAATGCGAGTCAAAAAAACTACACGACCCAAAAACCAACAGTGCTTCCACTCTGAGTTTTTCATCTGCGCTCAAAAGAAATTCAAATTCAGTGTATTGGCAGAAATCTTATTGAAGACAACAAGAATGGGATTGGTGCAGGAGTGGGAGTCATTCTGAATTGGAGCGGGAGTAATTTCACCAGGAGTGGGACGGGACAGGATTTAGTTTTCTACTCTGGCCCGGGATCGGGACGGGACAACATTTTTTTCTGTGGGAGTGGGACAGGACAGGAATGAAAATCCACTCCCGTGTCAGTCTCTAGTGTAAAGGCTTTAATCAAGTCTCTTGATTTGAAAAAGCACCATCTAAGTACAGGCCATTTACTACCTTTGAATGTAGTGATGTCACAAGTAGGTTTCTGTTCCAATTGACACAGATTTATTTTGCATGCTCCCGTTCTCCCTGAGTCCATACTTGTCTGTGTTCTTGTCAAGAACGTGTCGAGAACACAAGTCCCTACTCGCGTTCTTGTGAATTGAGGAATGGCCTCTGTCTGCCTGGGCTCTAAGCTCTTCCTGTCGATCTATGCCACCTGACCTCTGATCCCTTAAAAAGCAAAGCAGATTCTAACCCATTGGACCCGTCTTTCTTCTGGACTCTCAGATCTTCCAGGAGATGAAGGACGACCGCATGGCTCAGGGTTTCAGGAAAGCTCTCAGCAAGAAAGAAGGCGTTGTAGCCATCAAAGGCACCAGTGAAATCTCCAGTGAGGGAACCCAGCACTCCATCTCTGGTTAGTACAGCCTGCAGGCACGCATTCACAGGCTTTTGAAGCAATTCATGTAAAGTGACATAAGACTGGACTCTGTTTCAGAGCAGGAGCGCTTCGCCTTCGCCAACTACATCAACTCAGCTTTGAAGGAGGACCCAGACTGTAAACACATTCTGCCCATTGACCCAAACACCAGTCATCTGTTCAAAGCCGTGTCAGACGGCATCATACTCTGGTAAACCTCAACTACCTCCTCCTCTTCCTCCTCCATATCTGCTCTCAGGTTCTGAACTTCTGTGTGGTTTCCCCTTATTAATCGCTGCAGTAAACTCATCAACCTGTCCGTTCCTGACACCATCGATGAGAGGACGATTAACAAGAAGAAGCTTACCCCTTTCACCACCCAGGTTAGTCTCTCACCAATGCATGAACACCCATCGCTGTTGGTCCTGAGGTCCAGTCCACAACAGTATCAAGCTCCGCCTGACTTGACCAACAGGAAAACCTGAACCTGGCTCTGAACTCCGCTTCAGCCATCGGGTGCCAAGTCGTCAACATCGGCGCCCAGGACCTGAAGGAGGGGAAGCCTCACCTGGTGCTGGGTCTCCTCTGGCAGATCATCAAGATCGGACTGTTTGCAGATATACAGCTGAGCCGCAACGAAGGTGAGCATTCACAACCCTGCACGTCAGCGCAAAGCTCCCGTGTCTTGCTCCACTCTGAACATCGTCGTGTTTCACAGTCCTGGCGGCGCTGCTGGAGGAGGGGGAGACTCTGGAGGACCTGATGAAACTCAGCCCTGAAGAGCTGCTGCTGCGGTGGGCCAACTTCCATCTGAGGAAGGCTGGCATGACCATCTCCAACTTTTCTGGAGATATTAAGGTGAGAAGGCGACACTGTGGGATGATTGCCTGTATCTCTGCTCATGTTGTTGGGCGATTCTGATGTGGTTTTAACCTAATGCCCTACCTGGTTTAGCTTGTTTGCTAATATTCGCTGAAGGTGCCCATGTTGTTTGCCATGTTTGCAGTAGTCTAGCTGTAAAAAAGAAAGAAGGGGGATGGTGGATTTTTATTTAGAAGCCTTATTAACAGTCTATTAACCTAAAGCAATTTGCATGTCATGTTTAACCAAGCTTTTAGGCTTCCCCCTCTCCAATTTTCCCTTTACTCCAAACATGCCGTAAGTCCGAAATCTCGCAAGACTTGCAGCAATATTTTCCCACAAGACTTCCAATGAGAGTTAATAAGTACACTGCAAAAAATGAAAATCTAAATAAGTCTTTTTCACTTCAAATAAGTGCATATTCTATTGAATTCAGTAGGGAAATTAGACACTTTGCCAATGGAACAAGACAATTTACATTTAAATGAGAAAAAACATTTACTTTGTCTTTTTTCAAGTGCATATTAAGTATTTATATGGGTTTGCCCTTAAATTAAGGGTAAATACACTTAATTTCAGATTTATTTAACTTACTTCTATGTTGTTTCTGCAGTGCTGTGTTGAAAGTGGGATGTATTCATAAGATCTCGCTTAATTTCTTGTGTTTTCCCTGCAGGACTCTAAGGCGTATTTCCACTTGCTGGAGCAGATCGCTCCAGATGGCACCAAGGAGGACGTTCCTCGGGTTGAGATCGACATGACTGGTCTCTATGTGAGTACTTTGTGAGAAAAATTACTTCCTGTTTAAAAGCAGAGATTGGCCTGCTTGGCCTGCTTGCCAGGACAGAGCAGCTTTTTGGCTTTATGTCAGAAATGGCCACACTGAGATCACTCTTCACTTTGAGGAGTTGTAATCTGTAACTCTTTTTTCTGTATTCCAGTGCAGAAAAGGTCTTTTTTGCACAGATATGTGGATGCAAATGGAAAAACATCAATTGCAGTGGTTAAAAGTGCTTTGTACTCTGTTGCTACTGACAACCAGAACTGTTTAGCAGGCATGCAGAGAACTAGCAGTCTATAATGTTGGATCAGAGGAGAGATGGAGCAGGGCGCCCTGCAGCTCTGATGACAGCTGATGCACTGTGAAATTTTCCGGCCTGTCATAATTCTGGGAAAACTTTCAAGCTGGCTCCTTAGGTGAGAGGCACTAGTTCCTTTCATAGTTTGAATGTTTACATCATAACTCTCCATAAAGACCTGGCTGTGACTCCATGCTGAAGAGAAATATCAGCTGTGCTGCTGCCATCAACACCTTTGTTTATAGATGTTAGAGATCGGCCTGTTTTTCCAGTGTAGTCCTGTTTCTCTGACTGTGACTTGCTGGATGTGCTCTCTTCATCCTCTGAAATGGGAGCTGGCTCGGAGCTCGTCTGCCTGGCTGTGTGTTTCCTGGATTGGGCTGCCTTTTACAGCTGCTTGAACCCCAGTCGGCCTCAGCAGATGGCCGCTCACACTGAGCCTGGTTCTGCTGGAGGTTGCTTCCTGTTAAAAGGAAGTTTTTCCTCTCCACTGTCGCTACAATCATGCTTAGTGTGAGGGATTGCATTAGAGTCAATGAGTCGATGCAATCAACTGGTTGTCCTTAGATAGAAAACTTTGAATCAATTTGACTGGATGATCTGGTGAACTGTAAAGTGCCTTAAGATGGTGCGTTGGGATTTGGTGCCATATAAATAAACTGAATTGAATAAGGACCTCCAGCTCTGCAACTATTTCGAGATTTCCCCCATCCACTCAAACAGCCCACCGCTCCAGCCTTCTCCTAAATGCTGTGACCTTACTGGGTCAGTTTGTTGCTGTGTTTTGGCCTAATTACAGCCGACAGTAACTGGTTTTGAGAAATAATTGCCTGTTTGAGACCAACCGCTCACCGTCCTTCTAATGTTCTACATTTATTTGTATTATTCATATTTACATTTATTTATATTATTACTTTATTATTCAATTCAATTCAATTCAGTTTATTTATATAGCGCCAAATTCACAACACATGTCATCTCAAGGCACTTTACAGTTCAACCAGATCAAATTGATACAAAGTTTTCTATCTAAGGAAAACCAGTTGATTGCATTGACTCATTGACTCAAATACAATCCCCCACACTAAGCATGCTTGTAGCGACAGTGGAGAGGAAAAACTCCCTTTTAACAGGAAGAAACCTCCAGCAGAACCAGGCTCAGTGTGAGCGGCCATCTGCCGAGGCCGACTGGGGTTCAAGGAGACAGAAGCAGAGATACAAAAAGCAGCTGTAAAAGGCGGCCCCGTCCAGGAAACACACAGCCAGGCAGACGAGCTCCAAGGCAGCTCCCATGCCAGAGGACGAAGAAAGCACATCCACTCAGTCACGGTCAGAGAAACAGGACCACACTGGAAAACAGGCCGATCTCCAACATCTATAAACAAGGGTGTTGATAGAAGCAGCACAGCTGATGTTTCTTTCCAGGATGACGTCACAGCCAAACAGGAACAGACGAGGCAAAGCTACTCTGAGGAAAAGCAGAGAGAGCAGAAGGTTAGAGATTGAACTAACAGATTCTGCAGAATAGGAGAACAGAGAGAGAATGAAGCAGAATGATGAAATGGGGGTCCCTATGTCCTCCAAAAGTCTAAGCCTATAGCAGCATAACTATAGAGATAGCTCAGGATAACCTGAGCCACTCTAACTATAAGCTTTATCAAAAAGGAAAGTTTTAAGCCTAGCCTTAAAAGTAGACAGGGTGTCTGCCTCACGGACTAAAACTGGTAGTTGGTTCCACAGGAGAGGAGCCTGATAACTAAAAGATCTGCCTCCCATTCTACTTTTAGAAATTCTAGGAACCACTAGTAAACCTGCAGATTGAGAGCGAAGTGCTCTGTTAGGAACATAAGGAACAATCAGATCTCTGATATAAGATGGAGCTTGGCCATTTAAGGCTTTATATGTGAGAAGGAGGATTTTAAATTCTATTCTTGATTTAACAGGAAGCCAATGAAGAGAAGCCAGGATAGGCGAGATATGATCTCTCTTTTTAATTTTCATTAGAACTCTGGCTGCAGCATTTTGGATCAGCTGAAGGCTTTTAACTACAGTTTGTGGACTTCCTGATAGTAAAGAATTACAATAGTCCAGCCTTGAAGTAACAAATGCATGGACTAGTTTCTCAGCATCACCCCTGGACAGGATATTTCTAATTTTTGCAATGTTCCTCAGATGAAAGAAGGAAATTCTAGAAACCTCCTTGATATGGGACCTAAATGACAGGTCCTGATCAAAAACAACACCAAGATTTTTTACTTTATTATCTGAAATCAGTTTAATCCCATCCAAATGAAGTGACTGGCTAATCAGTTTCTTTTTCAGAGACTCTGGTCCAAAGACTATAACTTCTGTTTTGTCTGCATTCAGAAGCAGAAAGTTAAGAGTCATCCAGGTTTTTATGTCTTCAAGACATGCCTGTAATCTATGTAATGGGTTAGCTTCATCTGGATTTATAGACAGATATAGCTGGGTATCATCAGCATAACAGTGGAAATTAATCCCATGCTGTCTAATAATTCTACCAATTGGGAGCATGTATAAAGTAAAGAGAATTGGTCCTAGCACTGATCCCTGTGGTACTCCACAGGTAACCTTTGAGCGTGTTGAAGATCTATCATTAACATGAACAAACTGAATTCGATCAGATAGATAAGATTTAAACCAGTCTAGTGCTGTTCCTTTAATTCCAACAAAATATTCAAGTCTTTCTAAAAGAATATTATGGTCAACTGTATCAAATGCAGCACTAAGATCCAACAGGACGAGCACAGATACAAGTCCATTATCTGAGGCCATGAGAATATCATTAGTGACTTTCACCAGAGCTGTTTCAGTGCTATGATGAGCTCTAAAGCCAGACTGAAACTCTTCAAAAAGTTCATTATGGTGGAAGTGATCGCAAACTTGTTTGGCAACTACTTTCTCAAGAATTTTGGATAAGAAAGGAAGATTGGATATAGGTCTATAATTGACCAAGTCATCTGGGTCAAGAGACGGTTTCTTAAGCAGAGGTTTAATTACAGCAACCTTAAAAGCTTTAGGTACATATCCCTGTAACAGAGATAGATTAATCACATCTAAAATGGAGGAGGAGATCAAAGGGAATACCTCCTTAAATAACCTGGTTGGAACTGGATCTAACATACAAGTTGAAGGCTTAGATGAAGACAATAATTTTGCTAATTCAGAGAGTTCAACTGGATCAAAGCAGTCTAAACCCAGTTCAGATTCCATGACTACCTCAGGTACAATCGCGGATAGAGGAGTGCTTATGATCTTATTTTTAATAAGATCAATCTTATTTATAAAGAATCCCATAAAGTCATTGCTGCTAAGAGCAGGTGGAATGGACGGTTCAACAGAGCTATGGCTCTGGGTGAGTTTGGCAACTGTATTAAAAAGAAATCTAGGATTATTCTTATTCTCCTCTATTAATGAGGAGAAGTATGCTGCTCTTGCTTTACAAAGGGTCCTCTTATTATTATTATATATTTATTTTTAGAAGCTACATTTATTTTGCACATTTCTATTTTTCCAAAATGATTGAGAGACCCCCAGACATCATCTTGCAACCCCAATTGGGGTCGGGACTCCAAGGTTGAGAATGGCTGTTGTAAACGACGGTGGTATAAATTTTGTTTGTGATGTGTTAAATGTCTCTGATGTGTAGCTTGCGCATTTAGGTCCTGGTAGGAGAAAGCCAGTAGAACCACGTCAAAAAAGCTGCGACAAGATGGTCTCAGAACCGGACCCTTTTTGGTTCTTGGCTGCTCCTAGAAGTCCTGTCTGTAAAGGTTACTATCAGGACTAGTGACACAGGGACCGTTTCTCAACTCACAAAAACATGAGTACAGACTCGTGTTCTCTCCAAGTATGTTCTTGAGAAGAACACAAGAAAGTCTGGAGTCAGGGAGAACGGGAGCACGCAGAATAAATATGGGTCAATTGGAACAGAAGCGTACTGATGATGTCACCACACACTCGGCTCGTCTGGAGCTGCATTTCACCTCCTGTTATTAATAGTCTCTAGATAATAATAGATTCTAACTTTTTTAAATTAGTGGGGGAATAATAATGAAAACAGTCAGATAAACACAAATCAAATGAACATTTTGTCAAATAAAACAAAAAAACTTGTCATCAAAGCCAGCGGTCCTTCACTCACAGCTATGCAGAGATAGGGCTGCTGCAGACGGGCTAACATTAGACCTGGCTACAGTTACCCTCAGAGCTCCTCTGGCTGCAGCGGTCCTCTGAACTTCAGAATTGTTTTTTAAATTACATATTAATTCCGTAAATGGGCCATATAGTTACCCTTAAAAGTACAATGTTCTTGCCTCAAATAATCTTAAAACATACTTTTATTGAACAACTGAAACTGAAAAGAGAATGTTTAACTTACTACTGTGAGCTCTCTGAGTGCTCCATTTAAAGGCGCTGCTGCAGTGCATGCTGGGACAGTGATCTGAAGAATGGACAAGTCTGCCCTGATGCATGCTTGGTAAAGAGGGAGGGGTGAGAACAACATCAGGGAACTTTGTCCGTTCTTGGTCTGCAGTTCTTATGAATTGGAACAGTACTAGGGCTGAGGCTGACAAAGTTTTTAATGACGAGCACATGAGAACGCACAAGAACACGGCCAATGTCTCAAGGAGCTGGGTTCCAGAGCCCTGGCTGTGTGAGGAGGCGGTCCAACTATTTCTAGCAGGTATTGCTCCAGCTCCGACACAAGTTCAGGCTCCTTCCCCCCAGAGAGGTGACATTCCACGTCCTCAGAGGGCCCAGCAGGGTCCCGCGAGGAACCACCTAACCACCAGGGGCTCGTCAACCAAACCTTACCCCAGGCCTTGCTCCATTGTGGGGATCACATTTTTTTTTTTTTTTTGGCCATCATTAGGGATCTTTGAACCACTCTTCGTCTGGCTTGTCACTCAGAGCCGCTTCGCCTTGGGACACCCTACCACTATCACTAATATCAATGTTGATTGATATTTGTCAATCACCCTAAAAAAATTGGTCAGATGTACCAATAAAAGCCTTATTCTACATTAAGAATTACTTTTCATCTTTATTGTCCACTTTAGTAAAATGTCATATTTGCACCCATAAGAGGAACATCAGAAATGTTTGGATAAATGAAAGAAAATCTACGCTACGTAGTGGCCGTTTATTTAGGGGGACTGATTTTCTCTTTTGGGCGTTTCTGAAGTTGTTGTTGATCTTAAACATGATGCTGTGTTTGTGTCACCAGGAGAAAGACCTTCGGAAGAGAGCCGACTGTCTGCTGAAACAGGCCGACCTGTTAGGATGTCGTCAGTTTGTGACCGCCACCGATATTGTGACAGGAAACGCCAAACTCAACCTGGCCTTCGTGGCCACACTCTTCACCAAACACCCGGCCCTCACCAAACCCGAAAACCAGGACTGGAATCTTGAGAGTAAGCATGCAGACCCCGCCCCCAGTATGATAAGACAGTTTTCCCACCCATGTGCAGAGGTGTGCAGGCTTCGTCTTTCTTTCTGTGTGTTTTAGGTGAGACCAGAGAGGAGAGAACTTTCCGGAACTGGATGAACTCGCTAGGAGTCAGTCCACATGTTCACTACGTCTACGGGTCAGTGCCTGTCTTCCAGCTGCAGGGACGTATATTTTCAGTTCCCTGCAGCGCTAACATCCAGGGACGGATTTAGGAAATTTGGGGCCCTAGGCAAAGACAGGCAGGAGGCCCTCTGAATTGAGAAGACAACACATAAAACAGACCATTCATACAGATACAGAATTTTTTATAGGATAGACATCCATTATTAATTCTGGGTTTTGTCCCTCTCTTCTTGTCCCTTTCCTTGTTGTTTTCCTTTCTATGTTTTGTACTCAGCTGACTTTTCATGCTCTCTCAAAAGGAATTAATTTATTTTTTTTCAAGCACTAAGCTCACTTAGTTGATTGTTCCTTCCTGTGTTTCCAAAAAGGCCAAAGTAAATAACCCAGTCCTTCTTTTCACTGTCAACAAGTCATGATCTGCTTCTCTGTTCTCCATTTTTTCATTTGGATGAAATAATAGCTGCATGAATCATGACAGCAGACGAGATAGAGGAGAGCAGGAGGCGGGGTTACCAATCTACGAGTTCGCTGCTTTTATATTTTGTCGCCAAAGTCTCCTGTAGCAGAAAAAAGTCACTAGATTTGGCGCTAGGCGCTTTTTTGAAATAAAAGTACTAGAGGGGTCTGAAAAGTCGCTAAATAAAAGCGCTAAGTTGGCAACACTGCTCTTCACACTGTTTGCTTCTGAATGGTTTGCTGCTGTCTGTTTGGACCTTTCTGAACATGTGCAGCAAATGGACTGATCCAATATAGTGGACACTGAAGGGGGAGGGGGGAACTGCCTAGTTTTGCCTAATGATAAATCCACAGTTGCTAACATCCATGGCTCCATTTACACTTCCCTTTTGAAACCGTGCCAAGATCAGTCTCAGCACGGTAACCAAGGTAACTGTTAAGTGTAAATGGCACACCAAACTGAACTGGACTGCGACAGATGGAACAGAACCGAGCTAACATGGTACTAGTTCATCAGTAGGGCTCAGCAAGGTTCAGTTTTGGCGTGGTTCTCAGACAACAAAGAACGCATGAGCAGACCGCGTCATCTCCAGCCATCTCCTTACAGTCAGCCTCCGTAATCATGAAATTTTAGACATTCATAAAAATACTAGCTTCCCTAACCTGCCACACAATTTCAGTGATGAATCTACTTATCAGTGTGATAAACCTCAACGTCTGTTGTTGTTTCCTGTGTCTGTAAGCCCTGATTAGACTATCGTTAATCATATCCACTACCCAAACGCCGACTATGTCAAGTAATTTCACAAAATGATGCCTTCTTTGCCTCACTCTCAGTCAACAACGAAATATCGCAATTATAACCAAACTTCCGGAATGTTACGGACACCGCCATGTTGGTTTGCTTGTTTCAGAGCATGTGAGCAGAGTTGAATGTGGAGCGGAAGAAATATGGTGGAGCGCAGAGCGGTTTTTCAATTCAAAGGCCAGAGGGAGGATTTCGCTCCGACTTTATTTATATTCATGTTTGACTTAAAACCTAGGCCGATGCCTATGCTGTAGTCTGTGCCTATAATCTGTTATAATCCATGTTTCAACTTTACCATGAAATCGCCAAGACGAGGATTGCATATTGTGTGATAAAAAGTGGGATAAAATATGATAGAAACATGCACTATCTATACTTAACAATACAGAGTGGGTTTACATAAATAGATAGTTGTGGTAAGAGCCTGTTTTTGAAAATGGATTGCATACATGCATCATACGCTATTATCTCATTGGCAATGGGATGTGAAGTAACCTTTTTTAATGTAGTCTAGTGAAATAAATCAACAATTAAATAGGAAATACGGGGCAACATGTATGGAGCGAGGTGTTACGTTCACAGCTGGTAATAATTTAACAGCCAGTTAAATAAGACAATCCACATGTATCGGTCACATCATGGAGCCATTGCGCGCAGCTCCAAGCTGACTGTCAGGGTTTTGGTTGAGGTTGAGGACCCATATGCAGAGGCAGAGAGGCTGAGGTGATTTCTTGGAGTTTAATGGGAAAAAAACCATAAACAAAGGCAGGAATCCAAAAATCCAACTAATAATGTTAAGAAAACCAGAAATATGGAGACATCTGGGGAAACCAAACATGAGGAGACAGGGAGAGACGAGGTAGGTAGACAACAGCATGGGAGGACAGCAAAGACAAGGAACCTACCAAGAGTGACAGCAGACGGAGAGTATATGTAGCTGACTGGGACAAAGGGAGGGCTAACGAGCTGACAAGGAGCCGGTGTGAGGAGACAACGAGGGAGCCAAGGGGAAAGGAACACACACAAGAGGGCAAAAGAGGACAACAACCGAAAAACCTGAAAACTAACATAAATCTAGAAACTACAACAAAATAGGAATTAAACCAATAAAACTAGAAAACAAGGAGCAAACTAAAGCACAACAGAACCAAGACAATGACAGTGACACCAAAAGTTCCATACCCCACAGCTCTGGGACTGTTGTAGTTAGAGGTCTGAAATTTTCTGCATTTGTGGTTGACATGCTGTAGAGCAAATATAATACAGTAAAACCTCCTTTTTCTCAAGAATGTCTTTATTACTGCTGTTCAAAAAAGACCTATAATTTCCAAGAATAAAAAAAAACAACAACTTTGAGTCATGTTTGAACTGATGCAGGGTGGTCTGTGTTCTAGTCACCCAATTTTCTTTATATATTAGGAAACAAGAGGGTGTTAGCTTTCAAATAATGTATTGCACATGTAATTTGGGCTTACAGTTCGTAAGTTATTTGCTTTTCCATTTGGGTATGCAAAATAGGCCAGGATTACCCAAAATGAGGTGGATGTTAAGAGATTAACTGGTCCAAGCTCGCTCCGAACTCAGCACGGATCGGTTTTCAGAGGTTAGTGTAAATGGGGCTTATGTGTTTGTTTGCGTTTGCATGCAGAGATCTACAGGACGCCATGGTGATTCTGCAGTTGTATGAAAAGATCAAAGTACCGGTGGACTGGGGCAACAGAGTCAACCTTCCTCCTTTCAAGGGAGTAGGAGGAGGTCGCATAAAGAAGGTCAGCATGGACCACAGCAAGACTTCAGATTCAATCAAAAACTTTAAATCAGAATACTGTACATCTGCTTGTTTTCCTGTCTTTCTCTTTAACAGATTGAAAACTGTAACTACGCTGTGGAGCTGGGAAAACAGAAAGCCGGATTTTCCCTGGTGGGGATCGGAGGTCAAGACCTGAATGAGGGAAACGAGACTCTCACCCTGGCGTTGGTGTGGCAGCTGATGAGGAGGTGATTTACCGTTTCACCTTCTAGCTAGAATTAGCAAAACTACAAAGCTTTGACTGTGAGTAGTTGGCATAGAGGTAAAGCTCAGCTGCATCCCTGGAAGAACAACCTAAAATAGAGAAACTTTATGGGAAAGTTTTATATTTATTGTAATTTTATTAAGAAAACAGCACAATATCTAGTTAGAGGAGCTAATAACGACATTCAACCCGATACAGGTACACTTTAAACATCCTGGAGGACCTCGGAGACGGAGAGGTGGCTGGAGAAGATCTGATCATCTCGTGGGTCAACAAGACTTTGAAGGAAGCCGGCAAGAGTTCCTCCATCAAAAGCTTTAAGGCAAGAGATACAGCTGATAACCAAAACCAGCAAGAAGCTCATTTTATTCTTAACTCCCCCCTAATTTACATGAAAAACCACATGGTTGGGTTTAATGTGGGAGATTAACACTAAATAACACATCATGCTGTCGAACGGACCTCCACTTTATTCATAAAGACATTGAAAACAACAAGATATTTCCAGCCTGATGTTAATGAAGGAATAGCCTTACCACATCAATAAAAGCTCCAGAAAGCAGATTTTGCCTGATGTAGGTCCCTATACACTGCAAAAAATAGAAATCTCAATAAGTAATTTTTTCTTAAAATAAGTGTGTTTTTCCTTGAATTGAGGAGGTAAGTAAGACACTTTGCCAATGGAACAAGACAATTTCCTTTTAAAATAAGAAAAAACTATTTTATCGTCTTATTTCAAGTAAATATTATCTAACTATCTTATTTTATGAGTAAAAATACTCATTCCATTGGCAGATCATCTTATTTACCTGCTCAAATTAAGGGTAAATATACTTAATTTAAGAATTTTTTTACTTATTTCTGGATTGTTTTTGCAGTCTATATCATGAAAAAGTCAGATATTCAGGAGATGACTCCTTTAAATAAGGTCCACCTAGTTTTTTAAGATGTTTATACAGAACATTATTGAACCACCAGCATCATGAAGAACATGTGAGAACTGTTGGATGTCTTAAAGTCATGTAGAAATAGTAATAATATGTATGACAGAGGTCACGGATTAGCATACTACGGTCCGGATCCAGACCCACCTGCTGGCTAAACTCGACCCAACCTGATTTATATACCGCATGTTGTCTGACGACAGTGTCTAACTTCACTTGCGCCTCTTCTCCTGTTAATACGGTAAAGCTTTCCAGAGCGTCCGGCACCAGGCTACAGGTCATACAAATTAGCCAATGAGCTGCTGTCAGTCTGGGTTGCTGCTGCTGCTACTGTGTGCTGCTGTGGGAAGCCGGGCGATGGGAAAGAAGGAGAAGATGATGAGAAAAAGAGAGTAGAGAAAGAAAAGTGAAATGGTGCTCAAAGATGACCCTGGACATTTAGAGGATGTTTGGCTCAACCTGCTGCTGTGAAGCAGGATTCTCCACCATGAACAGAATCAAAAACAAATATCAATCCAGACTCAAAATGAGCACCTTGATATTTGCTTCAGAATGGCTTAGTCTCCATTCAGACAGTAACAGATTATAATAAAAATTTACTCCGGACCTTTACTGGTTTATAATTTTCTTTATTCGGACCCCGCTGATTTTTAACCGTTTACCCCTGCTGTAGAAGAAAGTGCTGTGGTCAGATTAGATCCAGATTCAGTGTTTGGCCTCCATCAGCAGCACTGTGTGGTTAAAGGGAAATCTTTAACCATCGACATGCAGCCATAGCTATAGTACAGAGGTTTATACAGAAAAAAAAAGTCCATGTGTTATCATTTTCAGGGGTTATGCTAATTTATGGTGTTTGTTTCTTTGTTAAGGACAAATCTATCAGCACCAGCCTTCCAGCTCTGGACCTGATTGATGCCATCCAGCCTCAGAGCGTGAACTATGACCTGGTGAAGAGAGAGAGTCTGTCCGACGAGGACAAGCTGGACAACGCCAAGTAATTAGCTAATTGACTTTCCTCGAACCAACCAATCATTTTAGGTCTTATAGGGATCCATGACTAGCTGAACATGTTGGCCTAAATTTGTTGTAATTTTTCTATTGAAAAAATGTTTGTAATATGAAAAAAATGTATAATTACTCCAAAAATTATATATTATATATAATATATTATATATCCTATATTTTTCACCCATTGAGGTTACCTGTTAAAGGTGCAATGCATGCTGGGTAGATTACGCGGTTACCTCTGACTGGACAGGAAGCTACAGAGTAAACTTGGGAAGGCTAACATTAGCAGAGTTGTTTTTTATCGTATCGTGTGTCACATGTTACACTGCATCGCTGCCTCAAAGTTTTCACGAGCCATTATACGTGAGATTTTTTGTTGAAACAAGCAAATGTAATTGACTTTTCACCTACTGCTTACTATATTAGCTAGAAATAACGCCATTAGCTGGAGCTAACGTGAAATCCAAGTCAAAACAAAAAGTGATGGAGGACTGTTTAAAGTTACAGTAAAGCACCTTTCAGTCGTCGCAACTCATCATTCTAACATATCTGACAAAGAGAACCTTCATCAGCATATCTGACAAAATGTTTTGATGATAATGTTAACCGCTAACAGGCTCAATTAGAAATCGGCATTCTTTGTAGATTAGCTCCCTATCTGGGTTAGCATCTCCTATTAGCAGCTCTATAGCCAACTCTCCTATCTTCCTCTGTTTGGTCCTCCTCACTTTCACCACCTGTTGTGATTTCTACCTTCTCATCCATTTAATCGCGCTCTGGTTCTAATTGAAAAGGGTGATGCCACGTTCAGGCAGCAAGCAGCAAAGGCAGGAGGAGCAGCTAGTATACTTGAGAAGTCAATGGTTGACGCACATCTAGGTGCAGCAAAAGGTCCCGAAGCGCGTTTTGAGAAGCAAGACTAGCACGTTCTGAGCTTCTGAGCATCTGATGGCGGGAAGCGCTGTGAAAGCAGCAGCAGCTGGAGTTTGAAATATTTTACTTTTGCTGCTGGAACGCACCACATCAACCAATCAGAGGAGCTGATCTGGGAGCTGGCAGGGAGACGGACACAGTGCTGCTGATGCAGAGCGCTATGATCATTCCTCTGAAACAGTTTATTAATGCCTAAATTAACTAAATATGTCAAAACCTGCTGGCAAAATATACTTTTATTATTCTGGTGCCTGCAGTAGCGGCAAACCGCGAAGGGGCGACCAGGCCAGAAGCTGCTGTTGAACGGGATTCCCAGTGACAGCGCTCTTCCGCTGTATGGAGGTCTGAGCGTCTCCGACAGCGAAATAATATTTGTAGGCAGGATGGTAATCTGGATGAACTGACTGCACAGATTAAGTTTTCAGGTTGACTTTCTCACTTAAATATATATTAAAACAACTTTTTACCCACTGATCACAGCAAATATAGCTGCCATTGTTACAGGCAAAGAAAGTGAAGGGTAGCTCCGCATCAGACCCACTTTTCAACCGCACAGCTGGAACAAAGATGCTTTAGCCGCGCATCAGAAATAAACTTGTACAAGCATCGAAAATGAAGCAGTACGCGCCTTTCTGCTGCTCCTGCTGCTTATGATTTGAACGTAGCATGAAATGGTTTAACGAGGCCAAAATAAATTTTGCATGTTTTCTAAGCCATACTAAATCTTTGTTGGGCTACTCTATAAAGCTTTGAACTCAACGCTAATTCAGCCATTTTGAATTGAAGAAGCTTCCTAGATGGGAAACAAAACGTCTTAAAACTTGGATACAAATTCCAGTGGATTGTTTTTTTTTTTACTTTTTTGGAAAGAGTTCAAAGACCTATCATTATTTACCCAGAATGCATTGCATCTTAGACAACAAGGCAACGTCAGTGTGGTAATGTTATTTACATTTTTTTTTTTTTTTTACAGTGTCCTGTCTGGCAATGTGGCAATAAGAATAATTGTCTTGATGCCGAAAAAGAGCCCAACAGATTTTACTTTCACAGGTGGAGCAGTACGGCTATCGCCATAGTGTTCCGCTTGATTTATGCATAAAAATAGCTTTATTATAATTATGCAGGGAGTATTACAGATTATATGGAGACTGCAATGTAAGTAGAACAGGAAAGGAAAACAAAAAAATTAGAAAAGATGAAAGAAAGAGGAGATAAAAGGCAGATAGCGATAAAACATCTTCTGTCTGCCTCATCAACTGCAAAGAGATGTAAAAAGAGCAGCACAACCAACGGACATAGTATAAGAGATACAATAAAGTAGCACCTTGATACTATCGCTGAAGTATAAGTAGTATTGTTTAATCTGACATGTATACTGTGGTAGCTGAAGATTAGAATATGGGCTTTCTGTAATTTACATTTTTAATTCTAAACAGCTTACAGCAGCTTTATTGAGCTGTTTTAGATCTAAAATAAATATTTATCAAATAAAATCAGTTGTTATAGCTGATTGTAGATCCCTATAAACTATGTTTCCATAGTAACTTCATTTAAACCTTCCCTGCCCCAGGTATGCCATCTCCATGGCAAGGAAGATTGGCGCCAAAGTCTACGCCCTGCCTGAGGACTTGGTAGAAGTCAACCCCAAAATGGTGATGACCATCTTTGCCTGCCTGATGGGGCGGGGCATGAAGAAGGCCTAAGGAGCAGCGTGGACACACCTACCCACCCTGATTGACACACACACACACAAGGACTGTCTAATCCTGCTGAGATATCTGATTTGTTTTAGTTTAGACATTTTTTTTTCCTGTGCTCTCTGACTTTTAAGAGAAACATCATCCAAAAGCTGAGATGTGAGCAGCAATAATAAAAAAATAATCAAGTTCACAATCATTCAAATATTTAGGGTTACATCTAACTTGGAGTAAAAATTAGAGATCACTGATGGGACCACATGCTCACCTGTAGAGGAAATAGTGTGTTAGCTCCTGTGACAGATGTTATGGCTCTGTGTAATTTCATGTTTTCTGTATGTCACTGCTTTCTCAGCTCTGCTGTTTGGCATCCTGCTCACATTTATCAAAATAAGCCATAAAAATCCTCACAGATGCCTTGAATTGTGGCCTAGTTAGATTATAGAAGGTCTGTACAGTGGATGTCGTTTATCAGGACTGAGACTGAATATATCCAAAAAATATTATGTTCTAGAAAGAAGGCAAAAAATTCATGAAACCTGGGTATAAATATTTCTTTCCAACTTTTTCTAACCTTAATAATATTAAAGTAGTTATTTCATCACACTAGTTTGCTGTTTTCTTGTAGTTTTCACAATCAAATTGTGAACAAATGCTGAAGCTCAATGTGTTTTTCCTCTCCACCGTCGCTGCATGCATGCTCGGTGTGAGGGATTGCTGCAGAGTCATCCACACTATGCAAGCGACTTTAATGTCTTCACATGTTAATCCAGAAGGAGCGAATCCTGAGAAGTCAGTGCCTTGATGCAGTCAAGGAAAACTTCAAACCAATCTGGCTGGAGGAGCTGATTGTCTCTCTAAAGTGCCTTGAGATGACATGCTGTGAATTGGGGCAGTAGAAATACTTCCGAATTGTAACTGAATTTAGTTTTGCTGCTTTTTCACACATTCCTCTGCATCTGTAATGTTTTAAAACTCATCTGTCAAACAAGTCATTCACGTTTCTGCTTTCCAATCATTTCAGTCCAGTTCAAGCTGGCTGAAAACACTCTGTGTACGATCATATCTCTTGTTTTAAATAAATATGTTTTTTCATTGGTTTTGGCAGTCTTCTGTGCATACTTAGTAAAATTGTCATGATTTATTACAAATATATACCAGAACAATTAGAACACACTCACCTTTTCTGCATCCTTGGAAATTATTCAAAATCATTTAAAACCTAACAGTAATTACCACCCTATCTTACATGTATTACTCTGCACATTATATCTTTCAAGGCCAAGCGGTCACAATGCCACAGATGTTACATCTGTATATTCACATTTAAGAAGTTCTCTCTAAGGGAGACCCTAAAGAAATCAGATGCCTTTTGTAGGGTTTTGTTTTCCCTAGAGATGTCCATTGAATGCAAACTCATAGCCATGTCTCCATGTGTAGAACACTACACAGTACCTTTCATTTGGTTCTAATAACAGCTGATTGTTTACTTTTTTGTCTACTAGTAAATACTTTAGTTTTTTTTTATTATGATGATCATAAAGCAATTTTTACACTGTGTTATGTCATTGGCTGATCTTTAATAAATATTTTAACCAGTGTTAGGTTGGTACAACGTTAAGTAGCTTCTGATGTAGTTAAGCTACTGTTAACACATTAGTGTAACTTAGCTTGCTATAATTCTTTAGTTGGTAGCTTTTGTGTAGTGGAGCTTAATTTATTGTTGAGTGACTGATAGCTTAGCTCACTACACTGGACAAGTAGCTTGCCCAACACTGGCGACAAGCTCACTGCAATACACTGCTGCGGGAGGATAGCCAGCCGTTGAGCGTGATGATGTCACCAGACAAGCAGCTGCTGTGGGGGGACAGAGACCACGCAGTATGCCAGCAAGGAGTTAAACCCACCTTTCTTTGCCAGTGGGAAGAATGCAAAATGCAGATGGTTAACGGGTCGACCCATGTTTGATAAACCCACGTTAAAGAGCTATTTTCACTGGGAAAGAGGCTTTGGTCTCCACTTTTAGCAGGACTCATTGCGTTCTGCCTCTATGCTAGCCCCCATGTGCTAATGTAAGCAGTTTTCTAGGATGGATGAAACTCAAGGTTGAGGACCAGAGTTTCTCTTTGTGGAAAACGTGCCACTGTGAGCTTTTTTTGTTGTCCTGCAGATTTTAACTGAGGCCTAACACCAAAAAAAACAAACATATATTGATTACCAACTCTTGCATGTGGACTCTGTCCACAACTACCACTGAGCTACTGGCTCCTCTACACTCAACCCTGACCTCACACACAATTTTTGTGAAAGTGAATCAGTATTATACTGTGGTGTTTTTTAGTCTTGCACCGATAACGATACCAGTATTGGGCGGGGCCCCGATCCAGCACTAAAACGGGAGTATCGGTATTGGTAACTACCAACAATAGGGCAGTGATACCATTTTGAGAACCAAAAGTTTATTCAACTATTGTCACCCATTCCAGGTAGGCAATAAAAAGTTCTACTGGATTCACTTTGTATTAGTCTTTGCTTCACAAAGGTAGGCAGCAGCTTGACAAAGCCATGATGGCAATTATTTTACATCCAAGTAGTATGCAGTTCTTCATATCTTCGTAACTGTATGGTATCGGTAATGCTATAATCAAAATATTAAAGCGGTTTATCTCATTTCATTAATACCAACAACACAATCTGTCAAAGCTATAAGAGTTGATAAAAAATGATAAAAGAGTTTTCCAGAGATTAGTGAATCACTAATCATTCTCAGCTAAATGTTACCAATTGGTTAAATAAAAAACAATGAACCTAAACAATGTTTCTAGGCAGACATGGTCCTAAAAACATTTCTCAGTCATTAACCAGTGGAACACTGGAAGACACAGCAGCAGCCCAGAGGCCACTTCAATCAGGGTTGTTGAATTCAGATGAGCCTAGTAGTTAAAGAGGAACACCCACAGACACACATACGTACCATTTACAATTTAGATGATGCTTTTCGAGTGCACCATGTGATCATCCCTTTTATTGGTTACATTTGGCTGCTTCATCTATTCCAGCTGTCCTCTGTGTGTTTGTTTGTCCATTATGCTTTTTGTGATGAAAGGCTGGAAATAAGCTGAACACACCAAACAAGGTGGATTACAACTGAACTGAACATGCTAGTTAATTTGGAGACCTGACTAAGCAACGTTTGGGTGACACACAATAAATCAGGTTAGTTACTTCTCTGTTTTATCTCTTTTATTTTCTGCCCATCAGCTTGTTGCTAAGTGGTTTCTGTGGTGATGCCAGGAGCAGCGTGACCTCGCACTGAATGACCTTCGTTTTGTGATTGTCTGATTGCCTTTTTTTTATTTGAATAACACCAGCAGCTTTCTTTTGCTTTTGTTTTGACTAAAGTCGGGGATCTCTGCTTATTGTCTGCTGCATGTTTGAGGTTTTGGTTCTTAGACTATATGTAAATGAAAAGAACCATTCTCTGCTCCTGTTTTCTGCAGCATGACGGGTCCACTGCACGATTCTCACAGGCTATCAGTGAAAACATGGACAGAGGAGGAGAGTGATCGTGCTGAAAGCACGATTAGCAGGTAGACACACACCTCCACAGACCCACAGCCAAAGATCCTCATTTTCCTAGTCCCTTTCCGACGTGTGGGTTAGCACGGTTTGAAATGAAACCCATCTAATGATCAATCTGAGAGGAATGGTTTTCCTTCACCAGTGAAAAAACAGTTCAGTTACCAGGGAAGGAGGAGCTGGTAGAAATGACCCTTTGTAAGAATTTGTCTTTTTTAAATCTAATAATTAACAATTTTGTTAGATACCATTATGGCAATTTGGAGATCTAAAGGAGATAGCAGTTTATTTTATTTCGCTATCTGGAAGGGGGTCTGGAAAACATTGTGGAAACCCAAACGGGGGTCCAGAAAGAAAAGTTTGGGAGGAGTCAGTCTGCTTCTCAGCAGTCTGTTTCGTCCGTTTTAACTCTTCTTCTTTTACATTTTGGATTTGGGGTTGAAGTTGAAGTATTATTCAGCCATTGAGACGTTAAGCGGCTGCTCCAGGTTGTAAGAAACCAACTGGTTGCCAACGGTAATGCATCATGAAGTCCACTAAGAGCCTTCCAGCTGACCTGTCATCATCACCAGAGGAGTAAACCGTCCCCAAAAAGTCAACCCGATCGACAAAAGAATAAACCAATTTTTTTTTATTGTTTTTTAAAGATTATACAGGAACGAAACTAACAGAGCTCTGCCAACTCTCAGCCACCTTGAGCAGTGCAATTCTAGAAACAAAGACTATTTACATAGGAGATATAAGGATGTTTCTTTAGAAAGCAAATAGAAAAAGATGTTTAAATATATTTGCTTAGTATTTGATGGAGATGGTAAGTAGGCTGCCTTACACACACACACACTTTTTCCCCTCTGGCATTGTAATGGCCTTTACTAAAAGCTGATGTCTTTAAGTCACTGTTGTACCTGAGCATTAGGTTATTTTTCCTCATGATGCCATGTAATCTATGAGACCCTCCAGACCCCACACAACATCCCACATCCAGACTGACATAGGAGTCTTGTTCCATCAGTCAGCTGGTATCCAAACCTAGTTTTTTACAAGATGACCACTTTTGTTCAACTTGGCAGCAATTTTCCATTTTATTTGGCTGCAACATTATTTATTATGCAACTCTGTAATTATAAATTTTATCTCCTGCAAATTCTCCTGCACCTGGCATGTCGGTATCCCGGGGACTCTGGTTTAATTTGTTTTAATTTCGTCCAAAGAAAGAACAGTCAGTGAGCTCTATGTGAGATCAAGCTGAAGTTCAAATAACATCTCGAACAAAGAACAGACGGACAGTTCAATCTTCTAAAGTCTATTCTTAATCTTTAATACAATTTCTGTGAATGAACACCTCCAAGCAGATTTACGTTTTTTCTGGAAGGTGGAAAGCATCATGTTTAAGACATTCATCCACGATCTGTCAAGGCTCAGAAGAGAAGATCCTCTTTTTGAAGCAGACAGTTTGATATCTCAAAAAACATTTCTTAAGAAAGATGGATCTGCAGTGAACAAAGAGGCAAGAACCTCTGCAGGAAGTGAACATAGGTTAGTGAACACGTCAATCTGACCGAGGATGATTATGAACGTGTGAGTCACTAACCTGGTCTTAAAGTTTAGTACGTGCCCAGAGGATGAGGTAGATCCCAGCCGGTTGGCTGCCAACAAGACGGAGCAGGAGCCGCTCAGAGAATCCCAGACGCTGATGTCCCGGAGGCCGTAGAACAGGCAGGAGAGCAGAACCGAGCAGATGAAGGAAAGCAGGATAATCCAGAGTGCGAAGCCAAAGCCGATGTCGAGAACGTGCTTGGAAGTCAGCGCCAGAAGATCAGAAATCCGAAGGGTAATCCAGGAAGGTGCCAGGTACTTTAGATACTGTTGGGAGCTGGAGAAGTTCCACCTTTCACCAGCAGAGTCCGCCGTGGATCCTTCTGAGGGAGCCTCCTGCACAGCTGCAGCCCATCAGATCATCAGAGGATCCATTATATAAGCTGTCTTCAGACCTTGCCTCAACGCCGCAGTGTTGATCCAGTTGGTCAGCGCCTAAGCCTAGATTCTCTGAGAAACCTTGTGACTTTGAATCCAGCCTGGATTCTAATCGTTGTCTCTGTCTTCCAGGAAACCAGTGTCTCCTTCGAGAAGCTCAGGAAGAGCTAACCTGCCGAGCCGACCCTCTGAGCCAAACCTGAAGAATCATAGAGAACTTCCATGCAGCTCAGGACTAAGAGCTGGAAACCCCTAAGCCAAGGTCTGTTCATTATAAGACGTGAGACGCTGAAGCAGCAAGCGGACTCTGCTGATGAACTCCTCTCCAGATCCAACAGTGACTCTCCCAAAGCTAACCACAAGAACCCTCAAGGTACTATCAGTTATCTTCAAGAAAATCAAGCTTCAGCTTGCAACGCTAACTGAACTGTCTCCCACGCAGACTCCGGTGAACCAGTGTCCAGGTCCAAGCCAGTACCAGTACATTCTGTGTGTTTGTTCCCCAAATAAACTTGTTAAACTTTTATTCTTGTGTCAGTCAGTGGTG